TGTTCTATCTTTTCCAATGTCTTTTGGGTTTTTTGTTTTTAGCGACAGAGCATGCATGAGCAGAGATGGGGCAGAGGGAGAGGGAGGGAGGGCAGGAGGGAGAGAATCTTAGGCAGGCTCCATGCCCACCAAGGAGCCCAATGCAGGGCTCAATCACATGACTCTGAATTCAGGACCTGAGCTGAAATCAAGAGTTGGACATTTAACCGACCGAATCACCTAGGCTGCCCTACATTATAATTAAAAAAGAAGTTTTTTACTGAATGCTCTAAGGTTTACTGTATATATTTTATCTTATCCAAATGGGCTTCTAACTTATGTTAGCTTAATTTTACAGTGATTATATGGAACTTTTACTCTTTTATAGCTCTATTCCTTTTACTTTTGTAGTAATTTTTAATAAACATCACATCAATTAATGTTACAAATCCAACAATACATTGTTATAATTATTCTTTACTATCTGTAGTGATTTCCTCAGCCCACTGTAGCTTTTATCACACACCTCCTTTGTGCCGTTATTAGCAAATATATTATACATATATTACATTACAGGGAATGTATTATATATATATATATATAAATTTTCATACAACTGCTTCTTAAATATGTTAAGAGGAGAAAGGAGAAAAGTATGCATCTCTTCTGTCTTTTACAATTACATAATTACCTTTATTGGTGTTCTTTTTTTTCTATGTAAACCCAAATTACCATCTGGGGTTACCTGCTTTTACCCTAAACAACTTTCTTGAGTATTTCTTGTAAGGTGGGCCTCTCCGTTTTCCATGATCGGGGAATTCTCTCATTTTTTTATTATTGGGTGAAGGCTTTATTTTGCCTTCATTTTTGAAAAATAGCTTTACTAGAGGTAAGACTTTGGTTAATAAGTTTTTCTCTTTGAACACTTTGAAAATGTTATCCTATTGCTTTCTGACCTCCATTTTTTGTGCTGAAAAGTCCAATGTGAACCTAAGGGGGCTCCCTTTAAGTGACACCTCATCTTTCTCTTGCTGCTTTTGATATTTTCTCCTTGCCTTTGACTTTCACTGTTCTTTCAGAAGGTATCTGTTTGAGGATCTCTTTGTGTGTAATCCTACTTGGATTTTGTTTAGCTTTCTGCCTACGTAAATTATTGTTTTTCAATAATTTGTGAAGTTTACAGCCATTATTTCCTTGCATATTTTTTCTTTTCCTTTCTCTCTCGTCTTTTGGTACTCCCATCAGACATATGTTGTTGCACTTGATACTGTCCCACATTTCTTTGAGGCTATGTTCATTGTTCCTAGTTTGCTTTTCTCTTTCTTCTTCAAGTTACATGATCTCCATCAATCTATCTACACAACTGCTTCTTCTTCTCCAGGTCAAGTCTAGAGGTAGGCTTATCTAACGAATTTTTTAATTTCAGTTATTTTATTTTCCAATTTCATATAGTTCCCATGTGGTTCATTTTCTTAATGATCTTTATTTCTTTATTTATACTCTAATTTGATATGACATCATCATCATATCTTCCTTTGGTACTTTAATTGTGAGTTACTTTATTTCTGTGAACATGTCTATAATGGCTACTTTAAAGTCTTTTCCTGAAAAATCTGACATGCGGTGTCTCTGACAGCTTCTTGGCTTGTTTTTTTTCCAGTGCATGGCTCATACTTTCCTGCTTCTCTGCCTGTCTCATATTTCCTTATTGTTGGAAACTACATATTTTAGATAATGTATCATAGCACCCCCGGGTACTGGTATGCCTTTCTCCTTCTAGAACATGTTATTGTTATTTGCTTATTTGTTTAGTGACTAGGGGACTATTTCAGTGAAATTTATTCCCCCAACCACAGTGTTCAGCTTTTAACGTTGTTCCTCAGGGAAGCACAGATTTGGTATACCCACAGTTCCCCTCAGATCACTGGATCATTATGGTTCGGGAGGGCTCTCTTCCTTGACCACACCCAGCTGTTAGACTCCAATAACTGCTGGCGGGTTGCTCTATTGTTTTCAACAATGCCCTGGGGAATAAACTGGTCTATAAACAAGCCAATCAAATTCTGGTTCCTTTGAAGGAATAGTTTCTGAGATCAGTGTTTGAATTTTTGTTCTGGTCTCTGGAAGACTGTTTTAACTTTTATTCCCTGGATTTCTCCTGGAGTATAATGTCTTTTACCACAACCTCCACTATACTTTAGAATACTTTTAGGCTTCAAGTTCTTCCTTCTCTGTTGCAAATGAAGTCTGTTCCTCTGTGAACAAATTAGGAGTGATCAGTTTTATGGTTTGTTTCTCCCTCTGGGCAAATCTCTGAACCAGGGCTCTAAAGCTAGGTGTGGGGGACAATGGCAAAGTTCTATCTGAGTGGTACTTCCACTGTAGGAGCTGAGAGCTCCGTGGAAGGAGACAGGACACAGGCTGGGGTTCTCTCAGTTTTCCCCTCCTGGGATGGAACAACCAACTTACAATCTGAGGCAAGAATGATCTGGGCTCCAGTATTCTCAACATGCCACAACCAAATTCCACAAGTAAGGGCTAGGCCAAAGCGAGTCCCCGCTCCTGCATGACATTCACCTAGGACTTGGCTGCAAAAACAGGCAGCTGGACACAGGAAGAGAATGCTGACATCGTGTTCCTCCCAGGAGCTAAGAGTCTAGGTTGGGGTTGGGGTGACCTGTGTTCTAGGCCACAGTAGTCCTAATTGGAATTTCTACCTCACTGTGCTGGCAAGGAGGAAGGAGGGAACTGTATTGGTTTAAAAACCACTCTCAGAGGCACCTCGGTGGCTCAGTTGGTTAAGCATCTGCCTTCAGCTCAGGTCATGATCCTGGAGTCCCAGGATCGAGTCCTGCATCTGTCTCCCTACTCATCGGGGAGTCTGCTTCTCCCTCTGTCTCTGCTCTTTCCTCTGCTCATTCTCTCTCTCTCTCTCAAATAAATAAATAAAATCTTTTTTAAAAACCCCACTTTCATTTCTTACCAAATTTTCATAGATGTTCTTGAATAAATGTCTCTTCATTTGCTATTCAAACTTAGGACCATGGTTTTGGGGGTTTTTCATCATTTTCATGTTTCATTGGGATGAGGGTCAGCAGAGCTCCTCACACTGTCATGACAGAAGTCAATCTCCCAGCTGTTCTTTTTTTTTTTTTTTTTTAAAGATTTAATTAATTTATTCATTTGACAGAGAGATTACAAGTAGGCAGAGAGGTAGGCAGAGAGAGAGGAGGAAGCAGGCTCCCTACCGAGCAGAAAGCCCGATGTGGGGCTCAATCCCAGGACCCTGGGACCATGACCTGAGCTGAAGGCAGAGGTTTTAACACACTGAGTCACTCAGGCTCCCCCTCCCAGCTGTTCTTTAACATGGATGTGAAGGATGAGTATGTGTGTGATCGAGGACTCTATGTGTGATCTCATTTAATCTTCACAACTGTGGGGCAGACACGATAGACAGTGCTTTCACAGATCATGAAACTGAATCCCAGAATCATTTAATAACTTCCTCCAATTAAATCAACAAACAGGGGGTAAGGAGCTGACTCCAAACCAGGCCTAACTGCCTCCAAAGCTCGTGTTCCTGATCATGCCTAGTTTTTCATCTTTTATACAGATCCTTTTAAAAAATCAGAGCTCATTAAAAAAAAAAAAAAAAAAAATCAGAGCTCATGAGCAGTTACATCCCTATGCAGTCACAATGATTTCTTTAGGAAATACATCATTTTCTTCCTCATCTGCATCTTTTATGATAATACTACAAGAAGTCCTATTCTGTTTCCTCATGACTTACACTACATTTCCATAAAGAATCTCTGACCAATGGACTTTATCTTTGCTGTACTTTTTAAAATCTGTTTTCCTGAAGATCTACCTATTAGATCTGATGTGCAATGGGTTTGGGTCTTTGATTATTATAAACATTAAAACGACAAGGTCTCTTTTCTCCCAGGATTACCTTTGTGCATAAGCACATACAAAAAGCCAATTAAAAATACTACTAAGAAATGACGATAACTCCTTTAAAAAAGACTGAAGCTTCTTAGGCCCAAATTATAAGATTTCAGGGATAATTTAACACACACACACACACACATACACACACACAAAATCCATACAGTCACAACTGACCAGTCATTAATAAGAACATTGCACTTTAAAAGTGATCTCATGCTTTTAAATGTACTTAAATTAGGAAGCACCAATACTTAAAACACAAAAAAATTCTGACCACAACTGAAACCAAAACACAATTTAAAAAAAATAAATAAACTAGACAAATGTAAAGTATAAGCAGAAACCTTTCTCTTTACTTACAAAACAAAACAAAAAAATTAAGAAAGAATAAAAAGACATGTCAAAGCATATTTGGAAATTTAGCTTTTACCTCTGCTTGGCTCCATTTATCACTGTTATAAAAGAAATTTTTTTGGTCAGTTTTTACCACCTCTAAAAGTCTGATTTCCTGGTAGCAGATTTCACTGCTTAATTCTGATGCTGCGTGATGTCTTAGAGGAAAAAATAGTTACTGTAGACAAAACCTCCCAACAGAAGAACCATCCAGGGAACGGTGAACACATGGTACAGAATATAGTTACATGTTATATTTAAACAAAGTTTAAAGAAAGCATTAGAATGAGACTGTTTGCTCCCAGTGTCTCTTTTCTCACACAACAGAGGCCCACACACCAGGCAGCTCCACCACATGTGGTAACCCCCAGTGGAATCCAGCAAAGCAAAGACCCTCGGTCCCACGTTCAGTAGGGGTATTTGTTTTGGGAGATCTGTATTCTCCACTGTCAACACCTCATTGAATAAACAAAACAGCTTTGCTGAGGAAACAAAGACAGTGAAGGGACTTAAACAGGTAAACCAAAATAAATTAAAATTCTTGATCGAAAATGACAGCACTGAGGGACAGCATCAAGTGACAGCTGCTCAAGTGGCAAAGGCACTGACCAGTTATTTTAGGTTCGCTAGGGTGTGCTCGATAGCTTTTTAAAGAATGCAATAGAGGTACTTACCAAATATTTCCCCTCCACTAGCATATTCTGTCACCAGATAAATCATCCGCTCTGTCTCCATAACCTGGTACAAAGGCAGGAAAGCGACAGTGACACAAATGACAGGCTGATATCATAGGAAGAGAAACTAATGACTCCTCTTTTGTCATTTGAAATATTAATAACCATTACTGCTTAAAGGAAACTTAAAACGCCAGAGCGGGGAACAGGAATAAACGCTATAAAGAAGAAACTAGGAAAATGGGCATTCGTCCTCGTACTTTTAAGTAGGACGTATTTACTGCTTGAGAGACCGTCCTTTTGTTGTTCCTTAAGGCCTCTGCAATCTCGTAAGCTCCACAACAGTGAGAAGCAAAGAAGGTGCCAAGAATCAGAAAGTTCACATTCAACGTTGATCACTTCAAGTTCAAAAATGCCCCCCGTCACCCACAAAAGCCAGTCAAAGCGAAAACAAAGCCTGGGGAAAACAAGGGGAATTACACGTGGATATGTTTTTTTAGTGGAAATGACAACTTTCCTCTCTGTATCCACTTATTCAAAATTGGGAATAATAATGTAAATACTCAAAAGTTCAAGTAATCTACTCATTTGTATTTTGTTTTGGTCCCTATTTTGCCTTTTTTACTTAGTTGTAGTGTGTTGGCAGTCCTTTCTTCCTTTTTTACCTTTTACATTAAATATTTTTTAAAGTAATATATGAGCATCTATGCTCATGATAAACTTCTTAAATAGCTGCTGTATTTAAAAAAAAAGGCCAAAGATTTCCTTCTTCCTAGCCCCCTCTCCATTTTATTCTCCCAAAGGAAACACTGTTAATAAGCTAATTTATTCTGTATCATTCTAGAGCAATGTTGACCAATGGAAAAAAAATACAGGCCTCATATATAATTTTAACTTTTCTAATAGCCACATTAATAAGTAAAAAAAATAAAATGCAATTAACTCTAATATTTTATTTAGCCAGTGTACCCAAAATATTATCATCTCAAAAAAAATTGAATCATAAACTACTCTGGTTTTCACATTAATGAAAAGTATTAAAATTAAAAATTCAGTTCCTTATTCACTCTAGCCACATTTTAATACTCAATAGCCATGTGTGGCCGGTGGCTATCATATTGGAGAAGAGAATTTTAGACTTTCACCGTAAGTCACAGTTAATTATTTTGCTAAATTATTTCCCAATTACTTGATTGTTGACCTCTTTACACATCGATACCATATAACAGCACCACGTGTTATAACCACAGATCTTCTGAATGGTCTCATGGTATTCCATCTGTAAGTGCACAGTACTTTTCTAATCTAATAACTATCATCCTTCTTTTTCTCTTTAATTTTTAAAAACTCTCTATGTTGGTGATATCAGCTCATTGCTACATGCACTGCCGCCAGGCTCTTCCTGTATGTTGGGTCACATAACAATAGCAAACATAAGTGCTCTAAACTTACGCAATGTTGAGGAAAAAAAAGAAAAGAAAAAAGTAAATGTCAAACTGTAAATCTCTTTTGTACCCCTGGGTGTACAGACTTTTATTGACTACAAATGTTCCTTTCCTGTTAAATTTTTCAGTAGCTCAAAATCTTTCCTACACAGTTACCTGTATTTGGCTCCCTCTAGAAACTGACAGGACTGAAGTTCTGGCAAATGACCTGAAAACTACCCGGATACTATTTACAAAGACAACTTGATGGCCATTCACCTTGGCCGCCCGGAATCCCCCATTAACAATACCAGCCGCCAGAGAGCAAAATTAAAGCTTAAAAGAGGACGTTGTTCAAAGTCAGGGCTGAAAGTATGAGAACTCCTACCAGCTAATGAAATCTTGGGTAAGAAAGATCAACTTGGATAATTTAGTTACAAGGTTAATACCAACAAGTTAACCTCTTGAGAAAAGTCAGACTCATAAGCCCCACAGCTATTTAGAGATGATTTATTTTAAAAAGTGAGGTCAAGAAGTTTACTCAGTCGATCAGGATAGGAAGGAAGCAGAGGTTAGACACCTCCGAGTTTGCAGACACAAGGCTTCAGGCAACACTAGGAAGCTTTCACGGGTCTGCTTCTGGGGCACGATGTAGGCGTGGTTCAACAGAACTGAGTCTGATAAATTTCAACAAGGCGGCTCCCACTAATTCATTTCATGATGTGAGCAGCTGATGCCAGGAAAGAGCCCTAGAGCTGTAGCCTTAACCACACACACGAACATCACGACGTGCTTTCTTTTCCATGAAATTAACAGACTATGAAAGCCTGCCCATTGAACCTCCACCCTCACACACGGTGCCATGCCTGGGCCAGTGACCGTTACTGCAGACTAACAGCAGCAGATGAACCGAGTGGGTGGCCACTTCCTGGACAAGTAGGTGATGGCTGATCTAGTAGAAAGCAATGAGCAGGGCTGGCCCTGGGCAGAGGCAGAGCTGTGGCTGCCTACACAGTGCAACCTGAGAAGCACCCCAAAGCCCCACCCCTCCCAAAATGTCTCTTCCACCAGCCTGCTAAGGCAAGGTCCTCTCTTCCTATCTGGCTTGAAATTCGTCATTAGATTTACTGCTTTTGCAGTAAGGAATCATTGTTGAGGATGGAGGAAATGTGCACGGTTCTTGGGAAGCTAAGAAAACCAGAATGGAAATCTCTTCCATTACACCAAATCAATCTTGTGCTTATCAAATGCTACCTTAGGAAACGAAGTCTAGGGCCCTACTAGAAAAGAGGTGGGTTCTGACTGACATAGGGGCCATACTTAAAATACCCTTTGCCATGCTAAGTCATACCAGGATCACAGAAAGGAATATTTAAGGAATGTTATAAAAAGATAATGCTCTATTAACTTCTAGTTTTTCATCCCTAAAAATTCTCTGTTCCTTTGGCTTTTCCATTCGTTTTAGGATTCGGATCTACATAAATAAGTTCTTGTCATCTTCTGAATAATCCTTTGGCGTAATCCCCACACACAATGGTACCCATGTTTTAAAGAACAAATTTAAAAGGCTTAAGTGGGTAAGGCGGACTTTACTAGTAAAGAGCCAGATCAAACCTGAGTGCCGAGTGGGCAGGAAAACAGTAGGATAAACGTGTGAACACAGAAACCAAGAAATGCTGCAGATGTTCACCCAGACACCTTTTCTTCTATACACACAAGTGGCTATTCTGGGTTCTTCGCTCCCATAGGCTATATCACTAAGGAGCCTACCTGGTACAGCCTGATGATATGGGGGTGGCAAAGCATTTTCATAATTTGAACTTCCCGGAAAATCTTCTTCAAGTTTTCTTCATCCAGCTGGGTCTTGTCTATGATCTTGATAGCAACCTGAGAACAGAGGAAGAAAATTTACTCTGATGCATGATTAAAAGCAGTTCGCTACGGAAAATTAAATCCACTTTAAGACATTACATTCCACATAACGCAAATTACCAGCATTTTGTTTACAGAATGTCAATGAAGAAAATTATTTTACTCTTTTTAAAAAATCAGGAAATGGATTCCTAGCAAGCTGGTCTCAAAGGAACAGATTCCAAAAGCTAATGGGTCTTTCTGCCATTTCTTAAACTGCTCCAACAGTAAAACCCTAAGACAAACAAAATACTTCCTAACTCCACAGATGTGATCACAGTCTGGGCAAATCATGCTTTGATGCAGACGATGGTACGCCAGGTCTCTAATGAAGAGGAAATGCTTAAATGACAAATACAGGACGAGTTAGTAAGGTTCGACCAGAAATTCCACTGGTGCATCCCACAGCTCACCAGGTGCTAACATAACTCGATAGTAGTAGTGGTGGGGTATGGTGGGGTAGTAGCAGAGTCACTATATACCGAACATTGCTGGGCACCAAGCAGAATTCTTAATGTTTTCCAAGTACTAAATCACTGATACCTTACAATACCTTACATTACTGTTAACCTTATTTCACAAATAGGGAAACCGACACACAGAGATGAAGTAATTTACCCTAGATTAAGTCATTTACAGCTGGTATGCACCAGATCCAGGACTAAAGCCCAGGCTGGTTGGCTTCACAGTCAAATTCTTAATGGTAACGTTCTAAAAATCTGAAGATCTTTCTGTAGTGTATATACACTGCTTAGTAACAAACATCTATTTTGCCCATCATTGTTAAGATATCCAGCAGCATATACATTTTTATTTTATTATTTTTTTAAAGATTTTATTTATTCAACAAAGAGAGACAGTGAGAGAGGGAACAAAAGCAGGGGGAGTGGGAGAGAGAGAAGCAGGCTTCCCGCTGAGCAGGGAGCCCAATGCGGGGCTCAATCCCAGAACCCTGGGATCATGACCTGAACTGAAGGCAGACACTTAACGAATGAGCCACCCAGGCATCTGGCACATATATTTTAAAACAGAATAAAAAACGAAGAATTTTTTTTACTCTACCAAATCTAAACTTCCTCACTATTCTTAGTGAAATACTCAAAATACTATGTTACCCTGAAATATATCTATATCTCTGTCTTGGTTGATCAGCAAATAATCAAAGAATATTAGTCTGATGAAGGACCAAGCAAAGCTAAATTCTAGCCCCTTCCAATTCTTCCAATTCTATGATTCTAAACTCTGAGAGAGGGAAAGGAACCTTACTGAGAAAAATTAAAAAAAAAAAAACCAGGGGAGCAAAATACCAATAATAAAAATGCTCAGCCCAGAGCAATAAAGACTATATGGAACTACAGAAGGTAGATGATTCCAATGTAAGAATGACTAACGTAAAAGTAACTTTGAAGTTTCAGGTATTAGAATGAGAACTGATGGGAGAAAGGCCCAGGGAGACAAATTTCAGCTCAATTCCAAGAGCGTCCAATCCCTGCCTAATGATGGAATGTGATAAGGTGAGCTGAATGTAGCTTAAGCTACCGAGGTTCAATCAGATACAGTCTTAACCTCAAGGAACAGCACAATCTAGTAGGGGAGAGACATACATGAAACAGACAACAATGCAGTGTTGGAAACAGAATCAACAAAGCTATAAGCAAGGTATGATGATAGAACAGAAGATGGAGGGCACCTGGATGGCTTAGTGGGTTAAGCCTCTGCCTTCGGCTCAGGTCATGATCTTAGGGGCCTGGGATCGAGTCCCACATTGGGCTTTCTGCTTGGCAGGGAGCCTGCTTTCTCCCCTCTCTCTCTCTCTCTACCTGCCTCTTGTGATCTCTTGTCTGTCAATTAAATAATAAATAAATAAATAAATCTTAAATCTTAATAAATAAATAAATAAATAAAATCTTAAAAAAAAAAAAAAAAGAACAGAGGATGGAGTATGACCTTCACCAGGGGGAGAAGCAGACACGGGAAAGACTTCACAAACAAGGCAGAACTGGAGAAAAGAAAGAACTGGGATAGGCTGAGAAGGGGATAGGAAATTATATGAGGAGAAAGAGCAGAATCATTAACAAATCACACCAGCTGTTCGATCTCCTAGAAGAAGTCTTCTATCACACCACCCTGGACAAGGGGGACAGCTCAGTGGCAGGGCATCTGAGTGCCTCTCATCAGCATTTCTACTTCTCATTACTGCGCCGTATCACATACAGGACCTTAACTCCAGCAACTGGTCTGGCATCTGTACCTGGTTCTCCAAGAACAGCTCCCAAAACACAAAAATCACAGTACACAATGTCCTCTTACAGAATAAATATCTGGGCTTTAATAGTAATTAATTATTAATAAATGCTTACACATGAATAGCACATTATACTTGACAGATTGCTTGCATATACATAACAGGCTTAGAAACTTGCAGCCATATGCCCTGTCACAGAGCTCCCCAGCTAGTGTGCTAGAAATGGGTTACAGGTGTACCCAAGGCCATGGGTAGGTAGCAATGGATCACCTCTAGCCTCAAGAAACCTCACTTGAGGGGCGCCTGGGTGGCTCAGTGGGTTAACCCTCTGCCTTCAGCTTGGGTCATGATCTCAGGGTTCTGGGATCGAGTCCCACATCAAGGCTCTCTGCTCAGCAGAGAGCCTGCTTCCCTCTGCCCTCTCTGCCTACTTGTGATCTCTGTCAAATAAACAAATAAAATCTTAAAAAGAAAAAAAAAAAGAAATCTCACTTGCTTACCATAGAGGAAATAATTATTTTCTGTGTGTGCCATGAGAATGGAAAGCAATATTAAGATCTGTTGATTGTCAACTGTCCAAGGGCTGGGCCTCAGTTCGCCTAACCTGCCCGTGCCTGCCAGTGGACGGCACAGAAACAGCAGTGGGGTAGAGGGTGGAGGTGGTTAATGAGGGCCTTCAACACATTTGACCGTATTTTTGTACTTTTTCACCCGCAAGAGAGAACTGAGTCACACATTAACTGGGAGAGTCATAGGGCCTCCCGATTCACTCCTCCCATGAACTCCTTCTGAATTTCATTTGCGTTCTGAGGCAGTAAGATTTTCACAAAGGCAGAGAAAACCAAATCTAATCATCTATGAGAACACAGCTGGCTACAGGATCTTATATCCCACGCACCTAGAAACTATTTTTAATTTGATAGAGATAATGGTATAGTATGGATGTAGTTCTGCATTTCATAACAAGTGTATCTGCCTCCCCATAAAGGGACTAGGGCCCCACATACTGAAATGCATTATCTTTTCAGGGAAAACTGCATTAAGTATGATCTGTTCTTCGAAGGTGGATGCAGAGAGCTTTTAAACATCAAATCCCGTCTTCTCCTCAGTGAGATTCAAGATGCAACAAGACCCGGGCAAAGCCTGGCCTCGCACCTGAATATGGTGTCAAAAGGATGGACTCTGGTGTCCAGCTGCCCGGGTTCCAAGTCTCAGAACTGCCTTTTTAATGTATAACCTTGACCAAGCTATGTAATTTGTGTCTCCTTATCTAAGAAATGTGGGCAACAGAACCTGCTCTAAAGGCTGCTGGGGACCTAAGCTCACGGCTGCAGCCTGCTTTGCATACAATGCCCCGCATGTGGTGAACAGGCCTTCCGCGTTAATTACAGGAACTGCTCTGACCTGTTTGTTTGTTTTCTGGAATCAAGCCTTAAACGTTAGGCATTTGTTGGCAAAAATGAGATTCGCTTCACTAAACAACAGAATCCTGGCTCTCAGACACATCAGTTCCTAACTCAAGGGGCAAGCGGAGGGGGCCAAGAGGCGAAGCAGCTAACAATTTGTGGGCCGCATTCAGAACCAACTGGTGGCTTCAAGCTGATGTGGGAAGAACATGGAAGGAATAAAGCTGGGGGAAAAACGCATTCCATTCGGGAGCGTCACACCAAGCCACAGGACCGAACCCACAGCAGGACCTGATCCTCAGGGCTGCGCCAAGGGAGAGCTCGCTCTGCTTCCCTTCACGGTGGGCCGGGGGCCCCCTGCCCTCCCGACTCAGTACCAAAGCCAGAGAGGAGGACACACGTGTCACTGGGCACACGTGCCTGAGAGGACCACTGAATGGAAAAGACAACCTCCAAAAGCTTCGGCTCCTGTTTTAGCTGTAAACTAGAAGATGGAAGTTTTCCAGAAAATGGAAAAATACCAATGAAACCGAGAAACAGACCACGTCAGAGAGTGGGGAGTTGGCAAGCGAGTGTGATTATTTTGAGACTACCTGAAGGGATCGGTGATCGTGAATTTTCACTACCACAGATCAGTGGCAGCTACATAATCAGGGTTTTGGCTGGAAGTACACACTCACTGCTTGAAAAATGAAATGCGTCCACAGCACACGGTAAATTGGTAGGTAAATGGAAGATAAACTCTCCAAGAATGTTGTTAAGATTTTGGTGTTGAGAATCTATGAATCACCTCCTTGTACCTCCATATGAAAAGCGTAACAAGTAAAAAAGGAAACTTCCAATATATTACCAAGGGACCATATATTTCTTAAAGTTTCTTGTTCTATATAAAATTCTTTTTCTCTTACAAGAAGCAGGATTTTATGAATTGACGCTAATATCAATTAAACACGGCACCGTATCCAAGATGTTGCTTACAGATACAGCTTGCCTAGAGACTTTGGGAATTTCTCTACCCAAGATATTTCCATTCAACGACCCCTTTTTTCATTGGCATGTGGCATGACAAAAAATTAAATTCAGATTGTGCCAAATTTAAAGTCACAGTTCTTTATTATTCATTCTAGATGGGGGGAAAATAGCTATTTCCCCCTTTTAGTTCTCACTTCTAAACCACAGTTCCTTTAACTCTTACCTAATTTTTGCAAGCACAGTAATGTTCACAGGGAATGGAGTTGAAAAAACAGTGCTTTCTTCACAACAGGCAATAATTCACTTGCGTATCCTGACACCGAATTCACAGGCAAGATAAGGAGACAGAATAA